CGGTCTTGGAGCACGAGCTAAAGTGTTTTAGTTCTAGAGAGCTGTTTCTTCACCCGTTCCCGTCTCTAATTTACTCATCACATCGTTCTCAAACACACTCCTCGAACGAACTCCCTGTCCTTGCAGTGAAATAAGGCTACACCCATCGCGTCTGCTCCCCTTAGGTCTCTTCTTCAACACCGAGTTGAACTTCTGCGTTAGCACCCAGACGCTGTGCTTTGCGTGTCGGCCGGAGAAGGCCAGGTACGATAGCATAATCTCTCTTTTGTTATATCAGGCGATACGCTGCAGTGCCGTCCAGTATGAAAACAACGAATTTCCCTTTAAATTTCCATATGGTGAAGAGCTTTCAACCAGTCCTGCAGACGTGTCCTCCTGGGTCGACTCTGTGTACGTCCGGGTCCGTCATCACCCAAGCAGTCTTTCCGTATAAGGTTTTATTCTCATGCTGGTGAGTAGGTTATACGATAACGATGTGGTCGAACACATCCCCTGTAGTACCCTCCAACATATCCGCTAACACGAAAACGGTCTTCCCACAGCCAGTTCCGCCCGCACACCATATGGCGGCAGTGTGGGTCGCGGGGCAAAATTGATAAACATTCGGCTTGCAACTTCAGTAGATGGCTTGCAATCTCCCATTGTCTATATTAAGTTGCGCGTCCATAATAACGTACAGATATAATTTCATAACTTGCCAGCGGTTGAGCCTTCTTGGTAATCTGATAGTAATCCCCACCACCGTTGTCTATAAGTACGCAGGGCGGCCGCCACCGCAGAAGTTTATCGCCATCCGTGGATCGCGAGATGTCCAACCACGCGTATTTGTTGGTCAGGTATTCACCGATTTGCACGGATGACAGGTCCAGGTCTTTGGCTATGTATGGATGTTTGCTCGGCAGCTTTTTATCTCATCCCACCGCTGGTACGCCCCTCATACCATGACTGAACAGTTGGTTGGGCACGCCCTCGATGGTCACTTCCACCTTTTCAATCTCGGGTTGAAAACTCCCTCGCTGTCCCTCCTCCGAACGGTTTCAATCCCTCCACGGGACGACCAGGATGCCTTTCATCGATCGCGCGCCGCATGTTCAGGTTGATATCTCCACACAGTGTCGCTCTTATCCCGCACGATAGATCTATGCCTCAGTATGCGATCGTACAGTGATGGCCACATTCCCTCGAAATTACTGGTTTCGAAACCTTCCTGGCTAGCTCCGGGTTAGTGACCGTGCGTCGAACTCCAGAGAGATGTTGCTCCATGGTATAACTAAGCCTTTATCGCCGTTCGGCGCACGCTACTTTTGCAGTAGTCGATATTAAACGTGGAGCTTCGTATTCAAACCTATCACCCAGCGCGCGGCCTGGTAAAGGCGGCGCGTGTTCCGTGAGGAGCAACTCGAAGTCGAGCGGCACGCAGAACCTGTTTCCGTGACGCTTGAGCGATGGCCTTTTCACCGTCCGTGATCTTAGATAACTGGTCTGCCGTGAAGGCATACCCAATGCGCGACCTGGTCGATTTGGTTGATGCCCCCCTGTACACGTCATTGACGCGTTCTCCTCGCTTTTCCAGAGGTCCCTGTAGCAGTGAAACACGTCGCTGTCGTCGATACTCAGCACCTCGTTACCGGTGATCTTGATGGTGGTTTTCTTGATGATAGCTCGACCTCCACGCCCGCACTAGCTCGCGTTTGTCGCTGTCGGAGGTCAACGTGAGGTTGAACGCCAGTCGAACAGTGCCTGGTACAATGAGGTCATTCGCGCCAAGGTTTGGAAATCTAACCAGCAGCGTTTGATTCTGGTCTATCTTGCTGGGATTGTTGGTGATGGTCACCGACTGACGCACGGCTTTGACACCTAGTGGCTCTCTCGATCTTCTGAAAGGATCTAGTTTTCTACCGTACATTGTTATATAAATGAAATATATAAGTTTTAATACTAAATAATGGCCGAAGGTGGTTATGAGGAAATACCTATGGAGGATATGTGGGATGATAATACCTCAGGCATTCGATGAAACCTCATTCCCCTTAAGTACTGAACTTGTACAGTCGGCCGTCGACGATGATTATTACGACGCAGTTGAAAAAATAAAAGACAACATCAAGCCGTTGGGGAGGGACTATTCCAAGTTTATGGTCGATAAGAAGGGGCACGCTGCGATTGAAGGCTTACCCGTGGGCTGATATCATAAAAAAGACGGGAAACCATATGTTTGTCAACACTCACCAAGTCGCCCCTGGTGGAGTCAACTGCTCCGTGGGGAACTAGGCTTCATAGATTACGTTGGCGCGCACGGTCTAAGCTTCCCCAAAGGTCGGCCAAGATCTGCAAGTAGCCAGGACCAATACTGGGGATGCTAAAGAAACATCGGACAGTATCGAAAGTAATATTGGCTACGTACCATGACAAACCCTGCCTGGGCTCGAATTTCCCTGAGGAACTGCGAGGTTTAGACGAAGCCTTGAAACATGTACGTGGAGAACTCGTTAACAACATGGGGAAACTGAAGACAGAAGTCGACGAGCGCATCGCTCGCGAGAAAATAAAACTCACCGAACCTGAAGACGATGATATGGAAACGCCGTATCGAGGAGAGAATAAAACTTGGAAGACGAGTAGAGACGGACTCGAGGATTTGGAATCCGCTTCCTCAAACCGGGAAGCCCTCCGATCGCGAGATCAGCCGAAAGTAACGTGAAACCATCGATCGAGTTCTAAATGAAGACACCACGCTTAGCTGGTAACCGAGATAAAAACCTCGGGGAAGCCCTGGCATAATATTGGTAAGGCCGCCGAAGTTCTGCCTGGAATCCTGCAGCATCGTCTCGTGGTTGCTGAGCTACCATGCTAAACCGCTACGCGGGTTTAATAAAACCTGTGGGCAGCCATCGTCGCCGTGGCGTGGTCTGGTGTACGTAGCGGCTAAGCGAATTTTAATCAAATGAGTCTCCGTATTACTCCCACCAAACCACCATGGCTGTTTTACGATCGATGTGCTGCTGAACGTGGGGTGCAGGCTTCAGCTTGTAGGTGTGTGTGTGTTGAACCCTAGGCCTGGGTGGTATGCTACATATACCTGTTTCACTGGTCGGGTGGTGGACGGGGACGTTGACAACGAGGTTGACGCCCAACTTTTGACCTCCGCTGCGGGCTATAACTATTTCGTTGTTGTAGCCCACCACTTTTTACTCTCAGTTGCATATCACTCGAGCTATGTACAGTCCCACGTCGTACGTACTGACTATCGATCTTCTGACCTACGATTCTAACACGCTCAGAAGCGTTTGATGGCACTTCGAGAGTATTCAACTTCGAGCATTGATAGCATCCCTAACGTTGACAACTGGACTGTTTTCGAGCGTCGTAAAGCAAGTCCCCTTTACCTAGGATAATATTGAACGCCAGCTTTTGCGTCTGCGCAACCCAACAGCCTTTCACCACGTACGTTCGGAATCGAGTCGTTCAACCTGATTACCCCTACACAGAAAACTCTTTCGACGTATCCAACATAAACTTTTTCCAGCCATCTTCCCCTGCTCTAACCTCCAGACTTTGTAATCCTTACTGTTATCGTGAAAGCCATGTAACGGTCATCCCATAATTCGTTTGTTGTGATATGATATGACTTGTATCCCCATTCTTCAACTTCTCGCTGGCTTCCGCCGATAAGCATATTGTGAACGAGATGGGGATACCTTAACCCGCGGGTTCGGGTCCCGCAAACTACCAATCCGGCTTCGGTTTAGTTCTAATTCATTGCAAATACGTTCGTAGAATTCGTTCTATCGCACTGGTTGTTTACTTCGCATTCCACGCCTTTTTTGTGGGAGCGGACGCTGATCTTTGAGTATTAATGCTCGACCTCCGGTAGTACACGCGAAACGGAACACAGACTGACTCAGCGTCCACACGCCGAAAGTGTCGGTCAATGCCACACCACACCCGCTACATAGAAGCACCACGGCGAAGTTGAGCTGATTCGCCAGAACTGCATCGGGTTGTTGGAACCAAGCCGTGAACTACCTTAGCGTTAGTCACCGAAAACTTATACTGACCGAACACATCTATGAACTGCGTGTCGAAATACAACCCATCAACGACCACGATCTTCATGTGGGGAAATCTACGTCCAGTTTAGGTAAAACACCTCCAGGGGAGTACATTTTAAAACTATTATATAATGAGTTTATATACTCTAACATGTACATAACACTTCTATGGAATAACGATATGGTAGGTCGCTCAGTGGGACGACGAGACGCATCGAGCAACACGCCGGGTCAACTCAAGTCGCATCAGCGAGTATCACCTACCTACCACGCATGGACTAACATCAACGCTAAAGCAACAATAAACTGTTCGGTGTCCAGAGGTGGCATACTTAGCAACAAGATAATTTGACGGTTACTAGCAAAGTAAAATTTCTAGTTTAATTTAGGTCTTCAAACCCCTGGGAGCCGAACCCAAGATACGAACGACTCAACGGTAGCAGCAGTGTTAATCAACAACGAAGAAACTCCTTGAGGCGTCACCGGGGTCGCACCACTGGCGAGGGACACTCGCATGCAGCCTGACGAGGTAAAACCAACTGCACTAGCAAATACAGGCCGGGTTACCCGACCTAGTACCGCATCGAGCTGCGTGTGTGCATTCATCTCAGTCAGGTTGTTAGTACAACGACAACATCCAAGGGTCACCCTTCCACTATATACTGAGAGCCGCATCGGGTGAAACGAGAATACAACGACGGTAGAACCGGAGTCGTTTCGCACTCGCCGCAGTATAAGAGGTTAACCCAGGGCAACATCCCTGAGCTGATAATATCGGGTGTTAGATATAAATCATAATCTCGTGAATATAGGATACTGCAGCGTAACGCTGCATACATAAAGCCGGACCAGCGCACAAGGTCCTGAACACCGAAGTTGAAAATGCACCAATGTGGGGATTCTGACCTCGGGGACACAATCGCGATCTGACGACCCCGAGTAGATGGTAAATTGTACTTTGCAACTGAAAAACAGCATTTACAACGCGTTGAAGTCCCTCTCCAATGGTACTAGCAATCTAAGTGATATGGTAGATACCCCCAGAGCGTCGCCAACACTTGGTACAATCTTGTCAACACCGTGATGATAACTGGATGATATACCCATCGCTCGGGGCAAACTGTTCGACTTAGACGATGTGTGAGAGCACTACCGTCGCCCGAAACAAGCTATATAATACGCTAGTTAATCACCGATGATGACAGTGGGTGTTATTACCCGATAAAGCTCGACTGGCGTTTCAACATTAGGCTCGGCTCCCTATGTGTTCACGGATAACAAAGACAACTTCACCTAAACAAAGTCGTAAACAACGGAATCCTGCTTCGTGGCTTACGCCCGACTCACCAGAGACGTAGCGAAGTCATCAGCCCACGCGCCAGTATGGCAGCCCACATGCTATCGAGTAAAGCGGGCATGCAAAATCGGTATTGCAGTTGGTGTCTGAATTGGCGGCGCGTGGTCAGGATCCTGAGTCTACCGGGCGAACTCAACACTGGTCATCCAAGTCTACCCTAGGGGAAACCATCGCGGATGTGATGTAGAGATCGGGCGGGGTCAACTCCGTGGGGAAACAACAACAGTATAACGTTTGCAACGTTTACGCAGTGGGTGGGTGTCGACTCATAAAACCAGCCCCAGGGTGTCACGTATCGCGGAAGACACTATATATCACTAACCAAGATATTCCTACCCCGACAACATACACTTCATGGGGGTGGGAAGCGCACCCTGAACTATTATCAGAAAACCAGCTGGAAATTATCTCGTAATAGTATTATAGGCAATGTCTTGGCTTCACTTCAACACTGGACGACAATCTACGACCTAGGTGACACGGAGGGATTCGATCAACCTGGTGAGGAAGACACCTTATACATCCTGCACTTCAAAGACAACGTATAGGCGTGGGTGTCGTTATCAGATTTTAAAGAACCCAAAATGGGTGTTCAACATAACCCTCAATCTTCACCTTTATATTTCATATTTAAGGAACATCGCTTTTATCTCTGAAATTCTTCAAGAATAGTGGTACCAGACTCCGGTGTTTCGCTCCGGCCTAATACAAGAATTATAACACTAAGACCGGTTTTACCCAATATGTTACAGTCATTCCATCGGGGTGAGTTAAATTACAGAATGCTACAAACACCTATTTGATACTCCAGTTGTGTCACCAGGCTCCACACTCATCATAGAAGTCTATCTCAGTAGAGTTGTTAATAGTAAAATCTAGAACAACAACTTGTACCTTGGGTGATAGCAGTACACTGGAATCCCCAGAAAGTTGATGAACGTTACTACACCATCATCATATACAAACGGACTCCAACGTAACGGTTCATATAACCTCCTCAATAAACCCCTACTATGGGGATCGTGATGCAAAGTTACCTATTAAACTCTCATCTATTTTCCCTACATGAGGATTTACACTTTATAAGCCTCAAGTACGTTGATCAAAGGTTGTTAAATGGAAACCCAACTAAAATATCTTTGCAACATATATTATAGGATGGACTGTACCCAGGCATAGATGAAGAAGCGGAGACTCTGAAACCGTGAGACTTTGGGTTCCGGCTTGAGGCAATTATGTGGATGTAAGACGCCAACCAATTCAGAACAAGACCGCATTGCAAGTTTAAAGCATTATATAAGAAATACCATACAGAGTTTTCAATGTCAGGATCGGGCTGACACTGCCCTTATGACAACCAGCATGGGTCTAGGGGGTGACAGGTGTTGGGTTATTAACCACCATCGTGGCTGTACCTATATAGTGATGCTGACCTGAAATAACGGCTGGAGTGACAGGAGTGTTAGGGTTGATACTTAAATACACATCACTTAGACCGTATCGTAGACATGGCATTAAAACACTACGCACGAGATCAGGGTTCTGGCCGAAGCAAAGCTAAACACGGTGAGGGGAGCGTATTTCCACTGCACTGCCGCTGATAGTAAGATCTCCGAGGAGGAGTTTCTGTTTGGATCCTCCTCTCTGAACTCACAAAAATATAACGAAAATGAAACAAGATATTCGGGTCCAAGTCTGAAAAGTACTGCTATCAGCGAGGATGAGAAAAAGTACATAGAACAGGGGGTACAAAAAGCCCGCAAAGCCTTTTGTATTACCAACACCAAAGAGATCATAGGCGATTCACGTTTAAACTGTTTCGCCGAGGTAAACATGGCATAGTGTCATAGATAAAAGTTGACATCAAAGCCGACGAACCTACCTTTGTACTACTTGAGGATGGCCCCGGTAGAGGGTTTGTAAAGAAGAATTATTGATCGTACCGCGACGGCACAATGCTACTCCGTGTCAACACGACATAGATCAAATAAACGTTTTCATAGCTTGATCCAACTAAAGCATTATTTGGGAAATAGTTTTCTGCAGGTAATGACAGTAAGAATAAGGTATCCGTTCTTTCAAAGCTATCTATGGTAATGAAGCTTTAGCTACCCTGTCCCGGACTGTCTTTACTCTTATACTACTTCATGTAGTTTGTCAGTTAGTTTGTTTAACCTATAGTTTTTACCAATATCCCAACAATGTCACGGCTGGGGAAACCAGAAATGGGTTTCACACATTGTATCCATGTGGGAATCGAACCCGGGTCTTCAGCGTGACGAAGCAAACACTTTAACCACAAGGCTGACCTCCACCGTCCCAGTCTTATCCGTCTCAGCTGTTATATCAGTGAATCTATAATGTGGACGAGTACATCAAGCGACCCGAGGTCACAGGTCTCACCCAATAACATGAAGTTGTTCTCCCGTACCTGATGACACGATCCCATTTCTTGAAACTTTTACGTAACATTAACTGGAGGAAGTTTGACTGAAAATGATGACTTTAACAATTTTGTACATACTCATGCCTTTATGCTTACCAAATGTAGAAGCTAGCAGCCTGACCTCGACCGTGGCAGTTCATCAAATCTGTATGGAAACAAACGAAAAAGCAGTAGACAAAGTGCTCTTCCAACATCAAGTTCACTCTGCGTACTTCGTCATGTGCTATGTTAGTTCTGTCTGAAACGCACGTTGTGTAAAGTCTCCCGTGGTGTAGCTGCTGTTGCTCAACGGGCATAAAACACCTAAACAAGAACATTGCACAGTACATACATCTGGGTGTTTCTGTATTCATAACAATATAAACAGACTGGCCCCCGGTCCATGGTGAGGTGTCAGCCTGGTTCCCTGGTATTCTATGCGCGCGCTACACTGCCTCTGCTATAATGAATCAGCCAACAGGGGACCAGGTGGATGAGGAAACCAGTCTTTCCTAAATAGCTCAATAGCCTCGCCAGCTACCAGTAAGTTTCCCATGATTGTTCATCATGGTCAAACTGTTCGCATTCTTCGCCATTTGACAAATCTACGTAGTAGTAGTAGCACCATTGTTCACTTCCAGGCATCACTACTATTTCCCGACTGTCCTGGACACCACTGACCACACAGGTTGGTAGGAGTTCATCGCCATCCTCACTTTCAGAGTCCATTTGGTTCAAACTCAGCCTACTTTCTATCTCTGTCTTCTATTTCGTAGTTTGTTTGTCTTCTGTTCCTCCGATGTACTGGTTCTAACTGAACTGGTAGGCTGCTGTAGGCATCAACATATTTTGGCAGTGTAGTGTTCGTGAGTTTCCGGATCCTTGTACAGGCTTTACCTCATATACCAGAAGATCGCCACCCAACCTCTTGACAACTTGGTAGATATCTTCCTCCCAGTAGGGACCGTGAGCTTTCCTGGACCTCCCCGCCCTTATATAGTTTCTTACCAGGTCTCATCGCCTGGGCTTCAGCTATGGCACTAACACCCTCCTTATCAGCGCGCCTGTTTAGCTTTTATAGATTTTGCTTTTAGTCTTCTCAGACACATTTCTGTAGACTTCAGTCATGCACTTCTTCCACCTTTGCACATAGTTTTCGTGGCTGGCATCAGACACGGTTTGTTCCAGTCTTTGATCAAGTGGATACGAAGTTGTGGGGTGCCTTCCAAAGAGTAAGGGCAAATGGTGAGTAGCCGTCGTGTCGTCGCAGGGTACAATTATAAGCATGAAGTACTTTTGTTCAGGTGACTCTTCCAATCATGCTTGTGTTGGTCTGGCAGCGTTTTTAACATTGAGAGCAAGGTACCATTGAACCCTTTCCACTTGTCCATTTCCTAGATTGGGCAATACCAGCAAACTTCTGAGTTGATTGAAAAGTTTGTTTTCAAACTCTCACCTTTGGTCATGGTGAAGGCGGATGGGAACCGCAAATTTTCAGGAAGAAGTCATTGAACAGCTTATCTGCAGCAGTTCTCGCGAGATTTGTTTTTCTTGTGGTTGCATATGCCTGTGCGTATCTAGAAGGTAATAATGGTCCATTACCAACAGTGATGTAAGTTCATATCCACCCTTTGATTGCTCCTCTAGATGCAGGAAATCAATGGAGATGAGTTCAAAAGGTGAGGTAGTCACAATAGGTTTCAGGAGGTGCAGAGATTTGTTTCACTGGTCTCGTTGTCTTAGACAAGTGTATCTCTTCTGGAACATAAATGCTCAATGTCCTATGTTTTTGGCCAAAGAAGCGATCTCTGGCCAGTGCCACAACACGATCAGTGCCCAATTGACCCATGTTGCTGTGAAGTTCCCTAAGCACTAGCTTCTTATACTTCTTTGGCATAACATTCTGTGATTTGGATTCGCCTCCTGACTGATGAGTTTTTCTGCATAAAATGTCATCTTCATTTAAGTACAACTTTCTCCATTCATGTACTAAGGCTCTTGCCTCTGGTGATTCATCCCTTCTCTCAAATCTCATAGGTTTTCTGTTTTCCTTGACATACTCCCTAACTCTTCCGGATACCAAAATCCTCCTTTTATGCCCTTTTTACCTCATCAATGTCAATAGGGTTTACCACTGCGATACTTCGCTCAACTCCTTTTCTACAGTTCTTACACTAGTACCAAAACTAGAGGCTCCACTCACAGTCAGCTACAAAAAGAAGCGCTTGGATGGGTTTTGCATACAGTCTCTAAGATGTTAGGAGATAGTTCTTCAGTGCTGTCACGGATCACTTGGATCGATATCCAGAGGCATACGAGATAACCCATCTGCATCTCCATTTATTGGTCCTGGTCTTGTAGTGAATAGTAAGAAGTTGTATTCGGCTAACTTCTGATACCCATCTGTGCCGAGTGCAGTCAAGTCTTGCTGATGTCAGTATGTATGTTAATGGGTTGTTAACCGTAAAACTTTGAAAGAAAGAGCATAGTAAAGGTAATCTCGAAACTTGTCTGTTATGGCCCATTTCAAAGTGAGGAACTCCAACTTCCCAGAATACAGCTGATAATTCTTCTCTGCTGGCTAATGTCCTAGAATCCATATGCAAAGACTGCCTCTGTTTGTCCTTGCTGTTGGTACAGTATCGCCTTCTAACCCTTCTTGCAAAGCATCAACATGAAGGATGAACAGGTTGATTACTGTCAGGGTAAAGCCATTATTTTCTGTAACCAGAAAATCCACAAGTTCACTAACTGTTGTTTGATGAACTGGCTCCCAACGAATATGTTGATTATTACTCAGAGCTTGTCCATGTGTCCCTTTGTTATTGTCTCTAGAATTACGCAGTCCTTTGTCAATTTTCAGAAGGTCATACACAGGCTTGGCACAACGTGCAAAGTCAGGGATGTATTTCCTATAGTAGCCCAAGACTCCCAGTAACTGCCTTACATCTCCAACAGTACGCGGTTCCTTGCTCTTCAGGTTCAGGACTGCTTCTTTGTCTGCAGGATCCATTTTGTTTCCCTCGCAGAAACCAGATGTCCAAGGTAACAGACTTCCTTTTGAAGAACTCACATTTCCATGGTTTCAGCTTCATATCCTTGAAACGAGTCTCTTCAACACTGATCTGAGATGCTGTACATGGTCTTCAAACTTTGCTGAACACCAGAATATCATCTAAGTAGGGTAGACATATTTCGTCTCTCAGGCCATCAAGGCACTCTTCCATGAAGCGCTGAAAACATCCAGGTGCTTGACTATACCAAAAGGTATTCGATTCCACTCGTACAATCCCTAAGGTGTAATGAATGCTGTCAAATGATGATCCTTTTCCGGACATAACCCTGATGGTATGCTTTTCCCTAATCCAGAAGGGGCGAACCATTCTTTTCCTCTCAGAGTGTTGAGGGAATCTTTGAATCCTGGGTATTGGTTGCCTCGCCCTCAAAACTTTGACGATTAATCTGCCTGTAATCTACACATAAGTTTAGGCTGCCATCCCGTTTCCGCACACACCACCACTGGACTGGAATAAGAAGATGACGACTTTGAAATCCATCCTTTCTGATGAAATCCAGTCACATAGTCTTTTCACTTCCTAGTGTAGAAGTGGTGGATTTGGTGATTAATCTCTAACTCAGGTCAGGAACATTTCCAACATCATCATCTGATTTTGAAAATACCTTACAGTTTTCATGGAGAACACTTGACTTGCTCCTGCTGACTCTCATCTAAATGGTCTAGGCTGACTGGTGGATCCTACAATTCTGTTTCCCAAATTGATGACACTGAACACTGCTCAACCTCATCCAGATGTTCATCCTAGTGCATCAGAGTGTGTACTTAAAGACTTCGTATGGGCTGGATTTCTCCAAGGGTAGTTCTCCAGCAAATAATCACCATCCTTTTCACTTTGGTTGCTCACTACATTACCAGCTAATGTCTTGGCAACAACACTAAAGTTTCACAAAGTTTCCATGAATCTTGTGTAATGATGCAGGATATGGTACAAAGAGTCCTTGATCAGTCGCTGCACAATCTAACTCTCTACATTTCAAGGAGGATCACATTACTTAGTTTTGCAGTGGAATGAAACAAAAATTCTAATTATTTAATCCAAATTTTATTTTCCCCACAATTGTGAATTTATATATACACTTACGAATGCAAGATACTGTACGAAAGCTTCAATACCTTGCTGAGGTCCGATTATGACCAAATCATCTCAAACGCGTCAACATCCAACACACAGATGTTCGTTCGACGCAACCATCTAACATTCTAACACTAATACCGTAACCCACAGTCTCTAACACACTCCTTTAACACACTGTCCGAAGTATCACGAAATACGTTTATATAACAAACATTCATTCATGGAAATCTCGTGCAGTAGCGTTTCCGCGAGGCGCTGTGTTCGCGCATTTACAATACATTGTCCGAGAACAAAACAAAACATCCATAGGATAACTGAACGTCCCAAAACGCAACTGTTCTATAACCTCATCCGAGAACATGCTCATCTGGTGTGTCTGCGCGTCAGTGTGTTCTTCGGACATTCCATGAACTGTTCTTCAGTCCATTCTCCTCCATGATAGACTCCTGTCTATCATATGTTCTGCTGATATCCATGAATCATGAATCACTCTAAAATGAAAATGCACATTTCAATAAACAGCACATCCTGCTTCTTGATCCTCTAAAATAGTCATTTGGTATCCTAATTCGAATCTTCAAAAGTCAATCCTTTACACAACGCATCATTCGAATTCAACTCTCCTGATGCCGCATCGATCCATGCTCCAGACTTAATTAACGCATCCATCTTCCAGACGACGAACGATCCATCCTCCAGACGTCGATGATCCTGCTCCCACTGCTTGCATGAACATATCTCGCCTGAACCTCCACATGACTGATCTGCTTAATGTTCTCTCAAGTCATCCTCCGAATTCCACTCGAGTGGACACACCTTCGTCACAGGTCTCATCAGCGTAGTTTTCCCCATCTTTACTTGTACCACTCGAACATGTCCATCCTTGCCTGGATATGTGTTGATGATTCTCCCCAACGGCCAGCTTCCACGTGGAGAATCTGGTGAAACTACGATAATGACATCATTTACCTTCAGATAGCTCTCTCAACCACCTCCTCCAGAAGTGTCTAACCAGTTCCTGTATTCGTCGCCATCGTTTTCTGGGGTTGTATGGCGTAGTATCAACACTAGCTGGAGCAAATGTCCCACCGACTTGCCCGTGCATAAGATGATTTGGGGTTAACGGTACATCATCTTGGCAGTTAGCACTTTGATAAGTGAGGGGACGAGAATTTATGAGTGCTTCTGCGGCACTAAATGCTGTTAGCTCTTCATCCGTGACATACGCTTTTACCCAGAATGACAAAGATAGCTCTTTTAGCTGACTTAATCATGCATTCAAATACACCACCAAATGTGGTGCATGAGGAGGGTTGAATCTCCAGACGACTCCTTATTAGTCAAGGATGATCCTCGCAGTCGACATCAAGTTGTTCAACCAGATCTCTCAATTTCCTTCACAGCCTACAAAGTTAATTCCGTTATCGGATACGCACTTTTTGGCATTCCCTCGTCTATTTGTCAGCGGAAGAAAGCATTCAAAAAACGAGTCACTATCAGACCATATGACATTTCCAAATGTACAGCCCTAGTGGATACAAACACGTGAAAAGACACAAATATCGTTTTTGTCTCTTCTTTGACCTCCTTGGATAGTAAGAAAAGGCCCTGCATAGTCCACTCCAACATGAGTAAATGCTCTCAGTGAATAGCTAACTCTCAGCTTTGGAAGTGGAGCCATAATCTGAGGTCTCGGTTGAGCTTTTGTCTCCGACAAAAGGCACATTCTGTCTCCCCATGCTCGAATCTCTTCACGAGCAGCAATGACCCAGTATTTTGAGGATAGAGCAGCTAAAGTTTGATTAGTACCTACTGCATTTTACCAGCTTCAGTGGTAATGTTTCACAAGAAGCCTTGTGACCCAGTTCTTACGAGGCAAGATTATTGGAACTCGTGCTCCTCCAAGACAAGCAGTCAGCATATTTCAGTCTGCCACTGCATCTAATTAGTCCCTCTTCATCGATTATTGGCTGAAGTCCAATGAGTTTGCTGTCTTTGGAAGCTGTTTTCTTTTGTAGTGCAGAAAACTTTTTCAAGAAACTCCTGTTGTTGTGTCTGACTGATGATTCTCATTTCAGCATCCTCGATTTCATCAACCTCCAAATTACCCATGTGTCGTAATTTTGGTGCAATACGCATTGGTAACAAATCTGCATACCCAAGAATATATTCTTAGTCAACCTCTTCCAGTCAGAGTATCTGGAAGGATGAAGACGCCATGTATCATCCTCACCTTCAGACATAAGTGTAACAACTTCCCTTTTTCTGGACACTTTCTTCATTTCTAAAGTACCATCACTTTGAAATCCAACTATTTGTTCTGGCCATTCACTTTCTGTGAGTGTCAGAAATGCTGGTCCTGTCAGCCATGTACTACTGGCTAGGTTCTTCACTGATGTACCCCTGGTAAGTATGTCTGCAGGATTTAACCGAGATGGAATATATTTCCACTGATATGGACTGGTGTGTTCCTGGATGTAACCAATGCGATTTGCCACAAAAGACTTGTAATTTCTACTCTGGCTTTTTATCCAACATAACACATTCATACTGTCACACCAAAAATAGGTGTTGACAGTGGACATTTCTAACACCTTTGCTGAAGCAACAAACAATTTCACCCCAAGGACTGCCGCCATCAGTTCCATTCTTGGAATGCTTACAGATTGAAGAGGAGCAACCCTGCTTTTGGAGGTAACTAAACGACCGACCACTTCCCCACTCTGGTAAGTATAGACTGCATATATTAAGCCCCTCATATGCATCTTGTGATGCATCTGCAAATACATGAAATGTTTTGTTTTCTATTTCAGATTTGATTCTCAAGCACCGTGGTACTCTGATATTGCATAACTCTTTAACCTCATTTACCCATTTCAAACTTCTAAGATTCAGATCTGGATCAAGCTCTTCATCCCATCCGAAACCTGATATCCACATCTCTTGAATCATCATTTTCCCAACAATGGTGAAAGGTGTCAAGAGTCCAAGCGATCAAAGATCCCGTAATTTCACTGAGAAAACATTCGTTTGGTCATTCTCACAGTGTCTTCAGGAACATTCATACAGAAACTGAACTCATCATCATTTGCAATCCACATAAGACCTAGTGTTTTCACTCGAAGGCAATTCATTTTGTTTATGTTTACCTTCTGTGCCCTAGATTCTAAACGGAATTCCATCAAGGACATCCAACGAATTTGAAAGCCATTTTCATGTTCATACCTGCTGTGCGCCATAGCTCACTCAGCTGATTGTACAGCTCTATCCCAGTCATGTCATCTTCTACCGAATCCATACTATCGTTCATATAGGTGAAGCTTACTACAGTCTCAACAGCAAGTGGAAATTCACTTTGATGTGCTTTTGCATGTTCTTGTGAAATGTATTGCGCTAAGAATGGTGAACAATTCAAACCGAACAACACCCTGTTAAACTCATACACCTGTGGTTCGTCATTTGAATTCATGGATCGCCACAGAAACCTGAGGTATTTACGATCTTCAGGTTTCACCTCAATTTGCAGGTACATCTCCGAGATGTCACAAACAAGTGCTATGGGCTGCTTCCTAAATCGAAGCAAGATTTCAAAAAGATCATTCTGCAACTTCGGTCCTGGATGTATTATGTCATTGAGTGAAACACCCTGACACTTTGCAGAAGCATCGAATACAATGCGTACTTTGGTTGTAGCTCTGCCTGGACGAACTACTGGAAAATGAGGTAGAAACCATTTACTCTCATTTTCCAATGACGATACCTTACGAATGTATCCCTTTTGCACATATTGATCTAGAACTGAGCAATAAGCTTCAGCCATTTCTTTGTCCTTCGACAGTTTCTTCTCAGTGCTAAGAAGACGATTGACAGCCATCTTATAGTTATCTGGTAACATCTGTGTGTCATATCTCCAAGGTATACCTACTTGGTAGTGACCATTGTTGTACTGAAGTGTCTGTTTAACATTTTCAACTGCACACAATTCATCATCATTGTAGTCATTCATGGTGCTACACGAAATGTTCTCTACTTCCCAGAACCTGTGCACTAATGCGTTTAGATTCTGCAATTCTGTCCTATTGTTATCAATGAGAAAACTACTTGCAAAATGTGTTTCATTTTCACCATGAACACGTCCTATGCATGTCCACCCAAGAGGTGTAAGTCTTGCAACAGGTTCTCCCTGACCACCAATTACCTCTTCATATGACCGATGAAGGTCAATGTAGTCAATGCCTATGAGGACATCAACCACAGTACGAGAACTAAGTTTTGGAAATTTGATGTGATTCAAATGTTTCCATTTATGTCCATGTTTCTCCCAGTCTACTACTTGCATTTTGCCTGTAACTTTTGTTGTTGTAAGAGCTGACATTGATACATCAACTGAACCATCAATGCTTTCTAACCCAAAATTAACAGTCATTGAGTCAAAACTCTCCTTTCTGCCATTTAGAACATTCACTGACACTTTCTGATAATGTCCTTGAAACCCAAGTTCTGCAGCTATATCTTCATTTATGTATGTCTGCATTCTTTGCATCATCTAAGAGAGCATTGACTGTAATCCTGCGATGTCCATTTGTGATAACTACTGGGACAGTTCTCAATGCTGTGTATGACATGTCACACCTACAAGTAGACATTGTGGTTGTTTGTGTTTCATCTACTGGATTTAGGGGGCGACTTACTTTTGCACCATCTGTCCAATCCCTTTACTTTCCTATCAGTGTGAAGTAAGCGATTGTGATTTGCTAAACAACCACCTATCCCACATTCACTAAACCTAGTGCAACTCCTACCACAGTGGTTGGAGCTTAGACAACGGAAGCAAAGATTCAACCCTCTTGCAACCTCCCACCTCCGACTAACGCTCAATGCTTTGAACTTTGTGCACTTCCACATCTCATGACTGCCCCTGGACACATTTGACATGGACCCGTTTGACTTTTATTCTCTTATTGCCAAAGAAAGTCCCATTTTTACCCGATGTTTTACGTTCATGACCTCTGCTTTTCAGCAACCCCATTTATGACTTCACTGGCAATGACCTGAAACTCTGATTCTCGCAGAATCCATTCCCTAAGGGCTTCAACAGATTCCTGTCTCTGGTCTTCAAATATCCACCTCTGATATTGTATTACCATGATTCTGTTAATTTCTTTAGTAATTGTGAATATAGGTCCCATCACCCAACTCTTTCTAACTTGTCTGATTCTCTAAGGTTTGCCACTAAAATATCAAGCAAGTCTGCAAACTTCTAAGTCCCTGGCATTACCTGCCCTAATTGGTTTGAACTTTGTAATCTCTTCTAACTTCAAAGCAATGTTACGTCTTTGCCACCATATTTGCGTTCAAGACGTTCTAATGCGATGTCATATGCAGTCGCACTATGACCTAAACTCGCTATCACTTTCAATGCTTCTCTGGTAAGACATTGTCTTAACTGTAACAGTTTGTATTCGGGGGTGGCTGGCGCCATGTCCACACAAGCTACAAATGCTGCTTTCCAATTCTCATACATTTTAATGTCACCATTAAATGTGGGTATCGACACCCTTTTGAGTTGTTTCCACATATCTACACCAAGCTCATTTTGTTTTGTGACAGGGTTCGTTCTTCTGCGAACATCATAATGTGCTCCAGAACTTTCAACCACATTCAACTTGTCATCTAAACATTCGACTTTCTTCTCATGTTTTCCTGTGACCACGTTCTTATTTATGTCTTGTTCATTGTCACTGTTCTGCTTGCATTTTGTATTCTTATCAGATTGTACTTTTTGCTTTGTCTGATCTTGAGAATGGAATAGCATTGATAAACCGGTTCTTATGCTGCTTACAGAAGTAGCATCTGATCTGTCATTCAAGTATGCTTGTGCCATTCTAACAACATCTTCATTAATCCCTTCTACAGACGCAAGTTCTTTGTAGACTTGACTTTTGTTTTCAGTGTCCCTCGCCATTCGAATATGCCTGAATCAAATCAACCATGATATTCACTGCCTTTAGGTGAAGTGAACTTACCTTTGTCAATTTCATCTCTAACCTCCCCGACGGAAGGAACATCAACTTGTTCTATCAAGTTATACAACTTGTTCTTACATTTTGTAAATGCAGTTTTAGCTGCTGCTTTGTTTCTTTTTAATCTGATAATTTTGTCACCAACGCCTGTTTTAGGAACCTTTACCTCAACGTTTGAAGCTATTTTGCTTCATCGATTTCTCCGACATCATGACAAACTAATCTTGACTTGCAACTAACCTAACCTGCATGTAACCTAGCCTTCCACTAATCTAACCTGTATCTAATCTTGACACGCAACTAAACTCTCACCTGCAACTAACCTAAACTCCCAACATAACATAACCACGCTCTGCTACCATTTTGTTTTGCAGTGGAATGAAAACAAAATTCTAATTATTTAATCCAAATTTTATTTTCCCCACAATTGTGAATTTATATATACACGCTCACGAATGCAAGATATACTGTACGAAAGCTTCAATACCTTGCTGAGGTCCGATTATGACCAAAATCATCTCAAACGGCGTCAACATCCAACACACAGATGTTCGCTTCGAATGCAACCATCTAACATTCTAACACTAATACCGTAACCCACAGTCTCTAACACACTCCTTTAACACACTGTCCGAAGTATCACGAAATACGTTTATATAACAAACATTCATTCATGGAAATCTGCAGCAGTAGCTTTCATGCGAAGTGCGTTGTGTTCGGCGCATTTACAACACATTGTCCGAGAACAAAACAAAACATCCATAGGATAACTGAACGTCCCAAAACGCAACTGTTCTATAACCTCATCCGAGAACATGCTCATCTGGTGTCCGCGGTCGCAGTGTTTCGGACATTCCATGAACTGTTCTTCAGTCCAACTTCTCTTTGGCACAATAACATTCTTTTTACCAGTCTTTATAGAACATACTGGTGAATAATCCCCCTTTAACAATCGTACAACAGTGGATGCACCTGTGGCAGTAACGCAAGGGATGGTAGACTTCACCATTTCAACTGAGTCAGATTGTCTAATATCTGAAAGGTAAACCTTAATTATGTTTAATCCAATCAATGGTTGTGTCACATCATCTGCATCTGTAACTAGAAAGGGTATGGTTAGCACATGGGTATCATCTAACTTCATCTTAAAATCAATAGCTGCATACCCTGAGTATGGAACCGTACTGCTACCAAGTCCTGACACATTCAAATCACAATTAACTAGATCAGATATAGGTTTAAACGGAATGTTTGGAAAATTGTCCTTCAGCCATGAGTCTTTAACGAGGCTAACCTGTGCACACGTGTCCCATAGGACTTTTGTAGTGGAGTCATTGAGGAAACGTCCATCTCACAAACTTGGCCTACGAGGTCAACCATTGTTTTCCTGTGCTTAGGTGGGAGAAAGTGCCCATCCCCTTGCAACCTTCCCACGTCTCTTCCCTGCTAGGTCAAGTTCTGTGATCTGTCATCAGAGCACCGAGATGCAACTTTCCTGATTGCTTTACAAACGTACCTATGTTGTTTCCAGTGTCTCTCCTGGCACTTGGTAGAGCAGTAAAAGGTAGTATGACAACCTGAACAAACAGACAACTTCTTCACTTCCTGTGCACATGCTACACAACGCGGGATCTTGTCTCGCACTGGCTTGGTCACTCCAGGTCCCTCGTCTGGAGTGACCTTCGTCCGTTTCCCTGTCCGGCGCTGCAACCAATGGCGAAATGGTTCTCACTACTACACTTGAAGCAGTGAATGCATTTCTCCCCCCTCCTTGCAGTTTGGACACCATCTTGGTCGACGTTTAGTTGATGAGTCTCCCGCTTCACTCTGTTTCAGCTTCTCCCTTAAAGCGGCTATTTCCACTCTTAACTTGTCAACTTCATCCTCACCAGCACCATTGGAGGAGGTTTGGACCTTGTTCACCTTGCCCTGGTTTGTTTTCTTGGATGTCTTGTGACTTCTTTCGCTTCTATCAACTTGTAGTCTCAATAAGTTCCTCGTCAGTGGCTTCCTCCTTGCATTCAGTAAAGCGTCTCATCTCCAAGTGAAGTGCTTCATCTGTGAATCTGGAGATCAAAGACTGGATGAACATTCCTTGTACAAGGGAATTTCCACTGTGTGCATTATCGCTGGCAGCCACAGTTGCCTTCTGTTTCAGTTCCAAGGCCCTCAGCAGGTAAGTCTTGGGATTTTCGTTTGGTTTCTGCACTAACCGTCCTAATTCTGCATACAATTGGAAATGCTACTCTCTTTGTAGTGGGACCTGAGTATGCATTGTAGGTTGGCAAGAGTCATATCACCTCGTCCATCAAGGTAGTGTCTGAGGGAATTGGTGTGTTCTACTACCCTGATAACCCCATCGATCACCTCCCTTTCTGTATAGCCCTTCTCAAGGCCTGCTGTGATCTGTCTCTGGAGACTGGTAAAACTTAACCTTGTTCCCTTTTCTGACATTTGCCCTCCCTCAATCTTGAAATCTCTTCTCCATGCTTGCCTGTATGGTCCTACTGTGACTTGGTCATCTTTCTGTCGTGGTACAGTGCTCTGACTCACTTCATCTTGGAATCTTGAAACCTCTTCTAGGATCCTACTACCCACAGCTCTGCGTTTGTCTTCTTCCTTAATCGCATCAGCAATGCAATCCTCTTAGATAACAAACAGCTCATTTCTTGACTTTTCCCTCAGGTCTGGGACGTTAAATTGTAACGCCTTAATGAGAAATCTCAGTCGTTCAACTGGTAGGTTGTAGAGTACTCCCTTGCATTTGTAGATTGCTTCATCCGCCATGGTGTTGATGAGTCTTCCGTCAGCAGGACCAGTTGTTGCTGTCAGCAGTCAAGCCATCTCACTCTCTTATCTTCTGATATCCCGGACGAGCCCCCAAAATGTTGCACACCTCAGGTTCATTGATACCAGATAGTTTCTGAAAGAACAAAGAACACATCCAAGACTTGTTCACAAGAAGAAGATATGTATTCTGACATGGCGAGGCTCCTGAGGTGGGATGTGTAAACCCCGTAGATGTCTAACATTAACATTACCGTTAGAGTTATCACCCCTTAGAGTGATTTTATGGGCCTCCCCCACAACAATCAACCTTTGAGTGTCATTTGTCACATGTTACAATATTCACACCCATTTTGTACGGGAACAGGTCAAAATGGCCACACGAAAAATGGCCACACTGACCCTAAAGCAAGGCCAGAAATACTTGGAAAATGCTTTTTGGCAATTATTTGATAATGGTTGATATTTCAGATTCAAAACTCATATATAATCATTTATACCACCTCGACCTAATCTGGCATATGAGTAATCACGATGTACCATTTCCTAATCATAACGATTACTCGTAAAATATCGAAAAACTTAGAAAAACATTCCATGGTAGAAACATTTCTAATAAACTATATTGTGACCCACCTAGCAGGCAGACAGGGTGACAGAGTTATGTAAAGAACGGGCAGTGCATGTCAGGGACCGTCTCAAAATATCAAGTGTCAGTATCACTGCTGGTGGAGGACACTAGCGGAACAGGACATTTATTGTATCTGTGAAGGAACTCTAAAAAACCCAAAAAGTTTAACAAATGAAAAGAAAACTATATTTTCCTAGTTAGCGGTTCAGCGGTTTTGAACCCACACTCCTGCCTTTTTTTTAGCAAGCTATTAGCTCAAGGTGGTAGTTTTAGAGTTATCTCCCTTTACAAAAACACATGT